CTCTCTCTCTCGTGTGTGTGTGTGTGTGTGTGTGTGTGTGTGTGTTGGATACTCCAGCTGCTTCTGACTCACCCTCTGTCCCTCAGGGCTGGATGATGCATTGATGCATGCAGGAGGTTTTCCGAGGTGGTCACCACCCAGGGAGTGTGGGTCTGTCTGTGTCCCTGTGTGTTTCCCTGACAGGGATCATGTGACCACAGAAAGAGGAGATAAGATCATGAGAAGAACTTAGTGAAATGTAAAGAGCAGTGTTGACTCAAGTCAGAAACTGGTCCTTGTCCAGCTGGTGAGGTCAATATGTGCGTTTGCAAATCAGTTGCAGAGTCTTTGGCCAGCCTGGGGCCTTTAGGGAGCAGAGTCCTGTGCACACAGTTGGCTAGGTCAACTGCCCTGCCAGGATGCACCATAGAGGATATGAACTGGACCGGAAGAGGAAGCTCTGGGTGAGCCAGGATTGCAACCACGCAAAGCTTTGGACTTGGTGGCAGTGACGGGTGTAGACTGCCCAGGCAGTTCTTACTAAAATGATCAGGGAGGGGGACTGGCCTCCAGCTGCTGGGGAGGAGGCCCTTTTTCCAGCAGGTAGACAAACTTCAACCAAACCAAGTGGACAAATTTTCCCCTCAAGAGCCCGGAGCCCAGAAGAAATCAGGGTGGGGCCAAGGGAAACCAGACAGTGGAACAAATAAATAGCTTCCAGGAAAGGGCAATCTCTCTGTTGTTCTCATCTGTGAAGTTTCAGAAACCATTGCACTAGAAATCAGTGAGCTACAAATGACTGCATGTGATATCCCCAACTCTTTCAATGGTTAAAAAAAACAGAGCCTAGGGCTGAAGAGATGGCTCAGCAGTTAGAAGCACTGACTGCTCTTGCAAAGGACCTGGGTTCAGTTCCCAGCACCCATATGGCAGCTAACAACCATTTATTATAACTCCAGTTACAGGGGCTATGACATCCTCTTCTGGCCCCTGCAGGCATTACATGACACAGGTGCGCTGACATAATTACAGGCAAAGTACTCCTACACATATAATAAAAATAAATAAATAGATTAAACAAACAAACAACAGAGCCTGGTGGCAAAGTGGTTACCATCATCAGGCAGCATGCCCAGAGCTGAAAACAAGATGGAGGATGTCAAATAAAAACATTTCCAATGTAGAACAGGAAAGGCTCCATTCAAAAGAAAGACTCTGACAACGGGGAAAAGGATCCCATCCCTGGACTCTGTAGGCATCTCGGCTTTTCCACAGTGGAGGAAGGCAAGCAGTGCTAAGCTGCAGCTTTAGAAGGAAAGCTGGGCAGACTCTGGGAAATGAGTACTGGGGCCAGGCAGAGAAACCATGTGGCTGTGTTCAGCCAGTTCCTGGGAGAAGCGGATGAAGGTAGGCTGGGGCTTCATGTGTAGGAGTTCAGGCCTGAGGGAGGACAGAAAGACTCCCTGAGCGAAGTCTGAGAAAGTGAAGCAGAGGGTCAGCCGTGGGCAACAGTGGACACCCGGTCAAAGACAAGAACAGAGAGTGGAGGGTGCCGATAACTCTCTTTTGAGGTCAATATTTTTTAAAGATAAAATTGTGACTATAGTATTGACATAAAATGGACACATTTTAAAAGATTTTATTTAACAAACACAAATGACGCAGCCAGGCAGGTGTTTTCAGAACAAAGAAAAAGTCAAAGCAGCACATATTCATGTGCAGGGAAGAATATTGAAAGGACTAAAGGGACCAACCCCAGCTTCTCCACAGGGGGAAAGGCTAGAGTCTTCCAGGGAACAGTGTTCATTTACATATCCGTAGATATTTCAAGTTACTACAGTTACTTGGAGTTACAAACTAACTCTTAAACAATGGAAGGTCAAGGGAGACAACCTGGAGGGAAGTTCCAATTCAGGATTTCTCAGCATGGGCATAGTGACACATCAGACTACATTGTACTTGTAATGTTTGTTTTCTAGAGAGCTGCTCTGAACCTCATGAGATACTCTGGTTGCATCCCGGGCTTCCAGTAGATATCAGGAGCACCCATCCCTTGGCTGTGATGACGTAAAGAATGTCTGCAGAAGTCAAAAGTTCTTTTGGAAGGCTGGAGAGCAGCACACTTACTGCTCTTAGAGAGAACCAGGGGTCAGCTTCCCAGCAGCCACATGGCTGCTAACAACCATTTGTGACTCCAGTTCCAGGTGATCTGATGGCCTCTAATGGCCTCCATGGGGTTCTGCCAGTACGTGGTTCACATATACTCACACAAGCACACACACATACTCATAAAAATAAATATGTAAATTTAAAGTCCCTTTGGAATATATGGAGACAGAATTGCCCCTAGCTGTAAATGATGCATAGTTCTACACTGAAAGGAACATTCTTCCCTTTCAGCATAGGGAAAGCAGGAAGCAAGCCCTCCCAGTGTGCATGCGCACGTGCACCCACACTTCTCTGAAAGTGAGCTACAAGTCAGAAACTCTCCCTTCAAAAGAGAGGTTGCATTGGCCATGGATATGGGATTCTAGTCTTAAAAAAAATTATGTATATGATTGTTTTGCTTGCATGTATGTAAGTGCACTCATGTCATGCAATGCCCACAGAGGCCAGAAGAGAGCATCCAAATCCCCTAGAACTGGAGTTACAGATAGTTGTTAGCCATCATGTGGATGCTGAGAACTGAACCTGGATCTTCGGCAAGAGCAGTCAGTGCTCTTAACTGCTGAGCCATCTCTCCAACCCTGGGACTTTATTCTAAATGTTCTTTCAATAGTAACTCAATTAATCCTACTAGTTCCAGTATAGGTTTGCCTCCACGCAATAGTTGAGAGCTACACATACTAAAAGCATTTGTTTACTTGAAATTCAAATTCAGCTCCCACGACTGGCTTTTGACAAATTGCACAACCCTACTGCTGCGCAAGTCCAGTAACTGCAGAGGACCCCAGCGGTTCCGAAGCCCTACTCTGCCTGAGACTGAGTCACACGGGGTTACATCATTTAGCCTCTAATGAGGCTCAATTTTCTCGTCTGTAAGATGGGTACAGGGGCAGCCGCTCCTTAAAGAATTGCGGTGGAGTAAACGCATGCGCATGGCCAGAGCCTGCAGAGCCTTTTGGGGGATGCACCGGGCGAGTGGCAGCTGCGTAGGTTTGTGCGCTCACTCCCTCATCCGCTACTGACTCACGCTGTTTCCTGGACAGTCACCGTTGGGTTTCGCCCGGCCTTCCTCCCCACGAGGTGGGAAGCCATCCACCCGACTGGAGTTTGAGCCCCAATATTTTGGCATCCCAGCTTGCTAGGGTCCAGCGCGGCGGGACCGCCATCCCGGCCGCCGGCCGCAGGTGGCAGCATCGGGCCCGCGGTCCTTCTCCGTCCGGCCTGCGCGGTGCAGTGTCTCTGGCTGGCGGCGTCTAGGGCCAGCGCCGAGCAGGCCGGGAGCAGTGGCGGAGGCCACACCCCGCGGCCCGGGCGCTTCCCGCCGGTGAATCATCGCCCGAAGCTGCGGCTCCGCAGTCCGCTGCAGCGCCCCGGGCCTGGCCGCGCCCCAGCCGAGCGCAGCGCGCCTGACTCCGCACCCCGCACCCTGCGCATTGCGCCTGCCGGGCGGGTACCATGGCGGGCATCGCAGCCAAGCTGGCCAAGGACCGCGAGGCGGCCGAGGGGCTGGGGTCGCACGAAAGAGCGGTCAAGTATCTCAACCAGGACTACGAGACGCTGCGGAACGAGTGCCTGGAGGCCGGGGCGCTCTTCCAGGATCCCTCCTTCCCCGCCCTCCCGTCGTCTCTGGGCTTCAAGGAGTTGGGGCCCTACTCCAGCAAAACTCGGGGCATCGAGTGGAAGCGGCCCACGGTAGGGAGCACTGGGGGCCGGGCGGGGCCGAGGTGACCTGGAAGGGTGCTGGGGGGCCAGCTGTCACCCAGGATCCCAGGACCCCAAATCCCACTAGCAGGCCTCCTTCAGCTTCACAAATACCCAGAGGATGCCTGGAGGCTGGGGTGGAACTTTTATTGAACTCCCGTGGTGAGATGGTGGGAGGGAACCTGTGTCCCTGGAAAAGGAGGGTGGGAGGCGATATCCTAGTAGGGTAGAAGGCTCCAGCTCCTGCGGGGTCTTCTTTGGGGACTGGGAGTCCACGGCTTGGCTGGCTGACTGCACGGTGGTCGCAGGCAGCTCTGGTGGTTAGATTTACCCAGCTTAGGTTCTTGTTTATTTTGAGAAGTGCAGCTAGCAAAATCTCTTCTGTGATCTTTGCCCGGGTAACTTAACAAAGGACTGAAAAAAGCTTGCTCTTCTGCTGGCCCACGGTCCTCACCTGTGACCCTCTGGGCCCCTCCAAATGCCTGTGCCCCGCCCATCAGGGGCTCTGCCCTCCTGTCCTCCCGGCTTTGGGACAACTACTGCTCCCAGTCGCGCTGCTGGCTCTCATCCCACGGCTGCCTCACCAGACTTTCCTACTATGCCTAGAGCAGGCCTCCCGGGGAAATCTAAATACTTGCAGATTCCAGTTAGGACAGTGAGCATTCTTGTTGTGCTTCCATATCCTGGAACCTCCCAGACCACCGTATGTTACCCTGAATCCAGCACTTAGGTAGCAAGGACATCGGAAAGGTCCTTTGATGGCCTGAGATGTAGCTCATTTGGCAGAGCCCATGCCTAGCATGCATGATGCCTTGGGTTCAATCCCAAGCACTGCATAAAACCAAGAGCATGGTGCTGCATGTCCGTACTCCCAGCACGCAGGAGGTGGAGACAGGAAAATCAGAGGTTTGAAGCCAGGGGCCACTGAGATGGCTCAGTGGGTAAGGGCACTTACCACCAGGCATGATGACCTGAGTTCATCCCAGAGCCCACATGGAAAGAAAGAACCACTTTTGAAGTTGTCCTCTGACCCTTCACTTGCACTTTGAGACACACATACCCTCCACACACTAAATAAATACATACATAAATAAATGTAGTAGTGGTAATAGAAGTTCAAAGCCTCTGACCCTTCACTTGCACTTTGAGACACACATACCCTCCACACACTAAATACATACATAAATAAATGTAGTAGTGGTAATAGAAGTTCAAAGCTAGCCTTGGGTACTTAGTGACTTTGAGGCTAGCCTGGGTCACATGAGATCTCAAAGAAAAAAGGGACTGTAGAGCAGGACCCCGATGCCTGGGTGCTCATCCTTGCTAACTACTGGGTGACTTTGGTTGAGTCATTCACCGCTATCTTTTCCACACTTCTTCATCTGAAAGAAGAGATGATAAGCTGGGCATGATAATGAACACCTGTTATCCCAGCCATCAAGACACTACTATGTAGTAGCCTTGGCTACATAGTGAGTTTGAGGCCAACCTGGGTTACAATGTGAGACCCTGTCTCAAAATTAAATGAATATGATAAAAATAAAGGAAGGGGTGAATCCTTGCTGGCTTCCCTCTTGTCTATCACACCAAGTACAGCCACTCCAGTCTCAGTTCAGTTTCCTGGTTTGCTTTCACAAGGATGCCCCATTTTCTTTACTCACAGGCCTTCTCACCTGCCAGGCATGCCCTTTCCTGAGTCTGGCTCACTCAAATTCTTTGGGTCTTTGTCACGAGTTTCCTCCCCAAAGAGTCTTTCCTGACCTTTCTTAGCAGCCCTTCCCCACCCTGTTTTTCTCAGTCCTCTGCAGTTTCCTTCCCTGCATGTTCACCATCTCCCCCATCCTCCTGCTCAGCTGCAGGGAGCCTGTGTGTGCTGTTTGCCCATATCATATGCGTCACTCCCAGCGCTCACCTGGATTGTGTCCGTCACAGTTGTCACTCATTGATTCATCAGCATTTATGGAGTGCTTCTATGCCAGGCATTGTGAGACACCCAGGAACAACAACAACAAAAAAAGCCACTGTCTATTTGTAGTGAATGAACGAATGAACAAATGAACAAACGAACGAACGAATGAATGTGCAATTGTAATGAGCCTCAAATGACATTCTGGTTGGGCAGGTGATTCACAAACAAGAGAATGTGTTCACCTTATTTGTATATTATTTTACAATTTACTTTCAGTCCTGTTTTCATTTCTGTTGCTGTAATAAAACAACCTAACCAAAAGCAATTTAGGGGAGGAAAGGGTTTCTTGGCTTACAGTTTCAGGCTACACTCCATCACTGAGGGGAAGTCAAGGCAAGAACTTGAGCAGCTTGTCACATCACATCCATAGTCAAGAGCAGAGAAAATTGAGTTTCACACGCTGCCTCTTACTGCCCTCTTGCATCTAGCTTTCCCCTGTCCTATACACTCAGGACCCCCTGCCTAGGGAATGGTGCCACCTACAATAGACTGGGTCTTCCTACATCAATTAACAATCAAGACACATACCCCCAGACATCCCCAGAGGCCAACTGATCCGGATAATTCCTCAACTGAGACTCTTTTCTCAAGAGATTCTAGGTAGTGGGAAACTGACATTTCAAACCAACCATCAAACACACGCCTTCATTTATCCTTCCTACTCAGTGAGCATTTATTGAACACTTACTATTTGCTGGGGGTAGGAACCAGATTGCCACAAACACTAGAGTAATAAAACTGGAAGTGAAGCGTGTGTCCACTCATTTAAGAAGGATATTTGTAAAGGAGAGACACAGAGAGAAAGAGAGACAGAGTACAGTTTGATTTGAGAGGCTGTTCAGCTGAGAACAGCCCAAGAATGTATTAGAGGTTGAGTCACCAGAGAGGAAGGGATTAAAGATGACTGGGAGAAAGAGTGAAACAGCCCATGAGAAAGAGAGAGCAGGGCAGGGAGCTGGTTAACCCTAGGGTGGGGGGCTGGCAGCCCTTCCTGAAGAATGTCACAACACTGGCCAGAGAGGACTTCAGTGGAAAGGGGACAAAACAGAACAAGGCCACATCCACACGGGCCAGGGTCGGTTCAAGTCCACAGTGAGGAGAAGGCGAGCCTGTCCAAGGCTGGCATGGCAAAGCCTCCTAAAAACCAGAAGGGAAGGGGTAAGTGTTGATGTTGTCATTAGCAGGTATTTCCTCTAACCCTCAGAAGGGTCCCCTGTGAGTGGTATGATCTCTAAACCCTTTACACATGAAGAAACAGCCTTCAGAACCTCAAGTAACCTGCCTGCATCCTAGGTCCTATGCAGTAAGTGCCAGGGCCAGGATTCACATCAGGTTGTCAGAACCCCAGGCCCAAGCCCTCCTGGCCTTTCTTCTGCTACATCCATAGTGAATTCCACATTCCACAGGCTATGCCGGGTTAAGTCTCCTGAAGCATCTCTGGACTGTGAAGTCTGGACTTTGACTTCTCTAGAGGCCCCGAGGCAGTTTCTGAAGTATGATGGAAGACCCCTCTTGGGATAAGGGCCTCGTCTCTGATGATCAGTGCAAATCAGCATGATAAAGAGGCTCCTGGAAATGGGGAAATGGGCCCTGGCTGCTCCATCCCAGGATAAGTGCTTGGCTGGCAGACCACAGGCAAAGTTGGCCTCTATCTGAGCAGAAGCGCTTTCTCATTGTCCCTGCATCCCCCAGTCAGACAGATGGGGAGGCTGGAAGGGAGCATGCTCTGTGAGCAGGAGTATTGTTGGAAGCATCTCTGTCCTCTGAGCCAGGATGGCTGAGGCTAGACCCAGATCTCACCCAAGGAAGGCTCCCTCTGGATGGCGGAGCACCACCAAGGGACAAGGTTACTCTATGCAGATATGACACTCCTACAAACCAAGATCACTGAACCAAAAGCGGCTCATATTTGGGCTCTGACTTCCTCTGTGGCTTTAGGGTGGAGCTCTTCAGAATCAGGAAACAGGTCTAGAGGGCTGAACCCTTCAAGGCTGCCTTCCATTAGGGACCATCACCCCTGAGGTTTTAGCACTGAACAATGGAAGCAGAAAGAAGCACTGGAGACCAGTGAGTTAACATCCTGGTGCTCTCTACCACCAGTGAGCTGCTAAACTTTGAACAATCACTTTGCCTCTGGAGCTGTTTCCCTCCCATGTGAGAGGGCTGACACTGTCCTGAGTTCCCCAGAGGGCTATGTGAGATAAGGTTCCATGCACAGTGTCTGCCACACAGCAGGTACAGAGTAAATTTATTCTCCCTGTACCAGGCCTCCTTGAAAGAATTCAAGAGGGCTAGAACCAGTCCCTAAGCCCCAAGAAACTCCAAGAAGCATGCATGTTAGGAAGCCAGAAGAATACCAGTACAGACTTAGGTTCTCATTGGCAGGGTCCCAGATCTCTGGGACAGGACTCACAGGGGTGGGTGGAGATGGACTAGGCCTTAAGGAGGGTTCCTGGAGGGGGATGGCAAGGAGACTCAAAATATGAAACAGCGTGGGAAATGTGATGGTCAAAGGAGAAATGTCATGCAAGTCTAGTATTTGCATGCAGTCACAGTGGGGAGGGTATCAGAATGAGGGGCGTGGGGTGCTGGAGTTGGGAGGCTCTTGAGGCCTGCCAGAGGAAGCCCCTGGGAAACTGCATGATGAAGCAGGCTGCAGACAATTCAGAGTGTGTGGGGTGTGGGGCTCCATACCACCCACCTCCCATTCCTCACCCCCGTCTTCCCATTCTCCCATCCCTCCCCATCAGGGCCAGTGGAACAAGGTCAGAAGGACCTCGTGGCCCACAGCTCCAACCACAAAACTTCCCCCAGCGCTGAGCAGCGGTGGGGAGGAGGGACTGGAAGGAGCTGAGGCATCCTTTTTCCTGCATGCTGGGCTAACAGTGCACTGCGGGTCTCATTCCCAGGAGATCTGCACTGATCCTGAGTTCATCGTTGGAGGAGCCACCCGCACAGACATCTGCCAAGGAGCCCTGGGTAAGTGGTGGGGTCTGGAGCTGGCTGTGCAGTGTCACCTACAGTGTTTGTGGCATCCCTCCCCAGCTGTGTGGCAATTTTCATTTCCTAAAGCTCCCTGAATGTCTTGTCTCCTGGGGACATCCTGGGACAGTGACAATGCTAAGACAGAGGTTCTGTGTGACAATGCTAAGACAGAGGTTCTGTGAGGTCCAAGATAGGGAGACAGTGACTCAGTGTGAAGGAAGAGGAAACCCCAAGGCTTGGGGCTGAGAGGAGAGGAGAGGCGTTTGTTGGCAGCTCCTGTGGTAGTGCACAGGGGACGCAGTGTGGAATGTGCAGACAGTGGTAATGTTTCTGTAATTAAAACTAAACGGAGCAGTGGGATCAGGAGGCTGGAGACCTTGCTGTCCCAGGCTGAGCTCTGACTTGTGTCTAAGGTTTGGGACTCCTGGGTCCCCAGTTTCATTCTGAACTCCCCAGGCTTTTGTGAAGTCCCAGCAGGAGAATCCACTCTCAACTCTTCCTTATTCACAGTACACAGGGGCCTATCATTATTGGAGTGGATTATTTACTCTGATAAACCAGAAACCTGCCATCAGCCTTAACTGGTTCCCCAAGCAAGTCTATCAGTAACAAAACTGGTCATCTGGAATTTGTCATCTTTCCATGCCCACTTCCTAGAGTTTTTGATCTGAAAACAACTAATATTTCCTGAGCCAGACACAAAACCATGCTTGTACAATCTTTAAGATACCATGAACATTCTCAGTATATAAACGAGGCTGCTGAGGCCTAACGAAAGCCAGACCTGCTATACAGATGCATTTGGTCTGACCCCAGCATCAGTGTGTTTAGCCAATCTGGCATCCCTAGAAGGAATTTCACAGACAAAAAAATCACCCTGTGTAAGGGGTCAAGGCCTGTGCAAATTCTTGGGAAAGGGCAGCCTCTTCATAGAACAGGACCCAGGCTTCTTGGAGTACAGCTGGGTTAATGTGACTTTGGATGCCGAGTGCAGATTCCTGGGATGCTGGAAAGTTTTCTTACCTGCAGAGCCCCTCCCTCCAGTCTCTGCCCAGTCTCCCCAGGGGAAAAAAAAGCAGAGCAGGCATTCCAGGGCAACCAAGATGGGTGCTGCTCCAAGACCAGCCACTGGTTAGAGAAAAAGGAGATTATCAGGGTTAGAAGTTGAAGAAGACTTGACCGACCCTGGGGACTTTTAGAGGACCTAGGAAAGTGTGCCAGTTTCTGAACACTATTCCCAGACTAAACAACTCCTTCGAAAGTCTAACAATATCCTGAGGATCAAATTGCACATAACAAGTACCTAATCTAAGTCCTACTTAAATTCCACCAAACCATTTGGGAGGAGCCACAAGGCTTATGTTCCTGGGAGAAATTGCCCTCTCTATGCACAGGACTGAATAAAACCAAGGTGAAATGTAAACCTTCAAAAATGTTCTCAGTAACTGGTATAATTTCTAAAGTTTCTAAAGATGCTAGGTCAGCCCATTTTATTTTCTTGGCCTTTTATTCTGGAAGATTCTAGTGAGACTGGGGGGCAGTGAAAAGTGGTTTACTGAACTCTCACTCTGACTCTGGCATGGGGCATTTGGGCCCAAGGTCGTGAAGGGCATCCCCAAGTCCCAAAAGGCTCAGAAGTAGCAGGACAGGGGCTGTGGTAGTGACACGAGGCTCAGCAAGGAGGGAAACTCTGTGGTAGTGACACAAGGTTAAGCAATGTCAGGAGGTAGGGCCTGTGCCCCAGGCATCACTGGGGCCCTCAGTTTTCCCAGAATCCAGAAGGAAGCAAGATAAATGAGGTAACTTCAACACCTCCCCCAAGGTGTGGCATTTGACTCTCTAAAGCTCTTGCTGGGGCACATAGCTCAGTGGTAGAGTGCTTGACCAGCATGCACGAAAAAGGTTCAATCTTGATAGCAGCAAAAAACCAAAAAAATTTAAGTAAAGCTAAAACCGAAGTCGAAGTCGTTCCTTGTTCCTGATTAGCTAGCTGTTTCTCATTCCTTGTTCCAGAAAGTCAAATGGCATAAGGTCATCCTTTATCTCCCAGGCCAGTAATGAGTGTTGTCACCTGAGAAACAGTGTGACTTCAGCAGCACTGTTTTCTTTGCGTTATCACATGTAACTATCCCAAGTCCCAGGTAGATGTTTTCATGTCCACTATGCAGATACGAAAACTGAGGCAAAGTGAGGGGAGGGTCTGTGTAAGGCTGCACCCCTGGTAATTACCAGAGGAGAGAGCCTTTATATGACATTAGATCCTGAGCTCATTTCTTAATGCCACGTTGCCTCTGAATCCATGACGCTGAGCTCAGCAAGGACACTTCATTTTCCCCACGTGTGCTTTCCACCTCAATGCACACACTGACTCCATGAGCCTGGGTGGATGACATCCTCAGCCTGTGCGTGTCCCAACATCTGCAGCATTGACTGTGCTGCCCAGAAGTGGTTAATGCACACTCTCATCCACTTTCCCAGAAGCCCAGTTTCCAGGCTTCCTCAAATGGTTCAAACTGTGTGTTGCTCTGACCATGAGCCACCCACCTGCAGAAAAAAAAAAATCTGCAATTCTCAAGGAAGACTGGAAATGCAGGCTGAGCCTCAGCCAGGTTGGTTCTAGAGCCAAATGTGACTCTGTAACTGCTGGTGTTGGCCAAGCCTGTGCCCAGCAGGCCCTGACTTCCAATGCAGAGTATAAGATTTCCAGTACTATCACATCCCTATGCTGTCTAGACCCTTCAAGGTAGGCCACTCTGCCTCCATCTCTTTCTGGCCCCCAGAACACCTGCCAGGAGGTATTTAGTCACAAGCTGCCCTTCTCTACAGCCTCCTATTTAAACCCTCAGCAGAAAAGTAAAAGGAGCCATGCCAGTGGGCAACTGCCTCTGAGGTGGAATTTACAGCCTTGCACCCCCCACTACTTATGAGCCTGTATAATCTTGATTGGGTGAGTCATTCTATTTTATTTATGTGTATGAGTGTTTTGCCTACATGTATGTAAGTGCACCAATGTCTTGAAATGCCTGTGGAGGCCAGAAAGGGGTGTCGGATCCACTGGAACTAGAGTTATGGACCATTGTTAGCCATCATGTGAGTGTTGGGAACCAAACCTGGTCTTCTACAAGAGCAGTCATTGCTTTTAATCTCTGAGCCATCTCTCCAGCCCCTGTCACTCAACTTTTTTGAGCCTTAATTTCCCGTTCAGCTATATCATAATATAGAAAGTCCCCAATTTATAAATGTTCAACATCTTTTTTTGACTTTACAATGGTATGAAGGGCACATGCATTCAGCAGAAACCACATTTTGAATTTTGGTCTCCTCCTGGCTAATAACATGCAGTCCAATCTGTCACAAATGCAGGGCAGTTACAGTGAGCCAAAACTCCCAGTCAACCACATAATTATGAAGGAGCCAATCAGTAGTGTTCTGTTAGGCACTGGGTGATAGTAAATTACATAGGAGATACTGGACACTTGGTTATAAAATAGCCTTGTGTTGGGTGATTTTGCCCACCTGTAAGCTAGTGTGGGTGCTCTGGGGACATTTCAGGGAAGTTAGGTCATATATTCAATGCACTTTTTATGTAGGGTATGCTCAACTTACAGTAGCTTTCTTAGGAAGTGGTTTATGGTAGATGTCTTAGTTACTTTCCTGTGCTGTGATAAAATACCTTGTCAAAAGCAACTCAAGGGAGAGTTTATATTAACTCAGAGTTCAAGGTCCAGTCCATCATGGTGGGTGTGCTGGACAGCATTAGTGTCAACTTGACACACCTGGGTAGAGGGAGACCCGATTGGGGCATTTTCTTGATTTTTGAGTGATGTGGGAGGGCCCAGCCCACTGTGGGCAGTACCACCCCGGGCAGGTTGTTCTGTATTGTATAAGAAAGCAGGATGGAGCATGGGACAGGGGAGGAAGCCAGTAAGCAGTGTTCCTCCATCACCTCTGCTTCAGCTCCTGCCTCCAGGTTCCTGCCCTGAGTTCCTACCTTGGGCTCCCTCGGTGATGAACTGTGACCCAGGAGATGTAAGCCAAATAAACCTTTTCCTCCCCAAGTTTACCGGTATTGGTCAAAGTGTTTTGTCACAGCAATTGAAAGTAAACTAGAACAGAGGGGAAGTCAAGGCAGCAGGAATTTGAAGCTGCTGGTCACATGGCATCTACAACCAGGAACAGAGAGTGATGATCTGTGCTACTAACCAGCTCCCTGTCTCCACTTATACAGCCCAGGATCCCAGCCAGGGAATGGTGCCACCCACAGTGAACAGGTCTTCTACCTCAGTTAATGTAATCAGTATAAATGCCCACAGGCATGCCCAGAGGCCCGTCTCCCAAGTGATTCTAGATTCTTTCAAGCTGACAATTAGCAGTAATCATCCTAGTAAGTCAGGGAACATCTTGTGTCATGATAACACTCCCAAGGGCTAGATAAAAGTGAGATTAATGTACATACAGAGTTTGCACATCAGAGAAGCCTGAAGAAATTGAAGGGGAGATGGACGACCATGGAGTTCAGTGATATGAAAAGCTTTCACCAAATTGCAGAAAAGAAAGAGGATGGGGAAGGAAGAGAGGAAGGAGGATAAGGAAACACTCTGGATTAGAAATGTACAAAGCTCAGAATCCAAGGTGTGAGGGCTAAGGTGGGGGGGCACACCTGGATCCTGGGTGGCGGTACTCAGAAGATGGGAAAACATGGAGAGAAATAAACACAAAGGTGCAGGTCTTACTCTTCAGTTTTACATAAGTTGAAGTTTGAAAAAACTATTATTTTTTACTTTATTTTGTGTGTATGAGTGTATTGCCTGCATGTATGTAAGTGTATCTGTGTCATGTAATGCCCATAGTGGTCATAGAGGGCGTCAGATTCCCCTGGAACTGGAGTTACGGATGGTTGTTAGCCACCGTGTGGGTGCTGGGAATTGAACCCAGGTCCTCTGCAAGAGTAATTCGTGCTCTTAACCACTGAACCAACTCTCCATCCCCAGAAT